CCCTGGGAACGGGTCAAAATAGCCCAGGGCGAAGATACTGCTGTTATGTTGGTAAGTTTGAGTTTTGGGCAACTTTGCCCCTTACCTCTTCTGTAACAGCTCAAAAATCCCACTGCCTTTGAATTTTTTTGGATTTCCTATTGTTACATGTACATTTTTGTTCCTTCGGTCAGGTGCAGACAGTAGCCTAGTTCTTCAACTTTTCCCTTTTCCTTAACGAATTTGCTACATTGCCTGACGGGTCAGCCTCTGAGTCGCCAGTAATCCGATCTTTATTTGCATGCTACGGGTCCTTCAGCTCATTCAACTACATAGAATATCATTGTAAAGTTTCAGCTTCCTGCTTGTATGAATGTGCAAAAGCATATATTAAATGCTTGCGCCGCTCCACACTGCTAGGCGTTGCTACTTGAGTAATTGTGGTTGATTTTCATTGCTTGAATTGTCCATGGCTAGTTAAGTTTCTGTAAAGCAGCATTTTATGACTCCAACGCTCTCTGTCTCTGCAGATTTTCTTCGAAAAATTTTGCCCAGTTGTATTTGTAAGGAAATAAGTTCACATTTCACCGTCTCGCGGCAACAAGTTCACATTTCACCGTCTACGTTTGCAGGAAATATGACATGGTGGACAACGGACGTGGATCTGCAAACTATGATATTGTCTTGTGGCGCAACAAACCTGATCGATATCAAATTTTATGAAAATCGAAATAACGGCCAAAGCAAAGGATTTGCTCTGGCAGTGTTCACAGCCGAAAGCTCCGTTAAAACAGTGATGGATAAACTGCCGCAGAAAATGCTGCACGGACAGCCGCTTGTTGTCCTCCCATACACCAAATCATCGTTGGCGAAATTTGAGGATGCAACAAGACGTGTTGATCAGGTTCGTGCATTCATTACAACTCAAAGCTTCATGTGGCCGCGATTGTTGCCAGGTGTTTTGCCCCCCAAAGCATTAAATTTTCACTTTTTTTCAGCGAAACGATAAGAAAGATTCGAAGAAGGAGGAGCAGAAGACGTCATTCGTTGGTACCATTCGTATTGGTATGCCACCACAACCGCTACAGCCAGGACAAATGTCAGTCCCACCACCGGTGCCAATCAGACCCCAAGTACAGGTAAAATAACAGCAGATCCTCAGACCTCTTTTTTTTTTGCTTAGCTGGTGAAAGCTGTCCAAGATCATCTCATCGTGTTGTTTCCAGGTTCCACCACCAATCGCCTCGATGCGCCCACCAACACAAGTGGCAGTAATGTTGCCGCCGAACCAACAGCCTCCGCAAATGCGCGGCCCTCCGCCAACTTCGCAACCGCTACCGTTGGGCGCACTTGGCGTTACACGGCCTCCAGTGAATCTGAGTGCACCACCTCCAGCTCTCCCACAAGTTCAGTTATCAAGTAAGTATGCTTCGATATTTTGTAGGCATCGTAGGATGGGTTTTAGATTGTTTTGCCCGAGCCCACAAATAAGTGTTGTAGAAATTTTAAAGATACAAATGGTAAAGATCCCTAGCTAGACGATTGGAAGAAGGCGGGGGGGAGGGGGGGCTGAAATCTTCTATGTGTTAACATAATGCAGTTTGTTTGGCGTTATTGGCCCAACGTGAAGAGGAACACAGTCTAATTTTGATAATTAATGAAAACACTGGAGGCGCCATTTAGTCCTCCCATATAATCAAGCCTGTGTGTATTGTGGCTTGGTGGCCTGTCATAAATATATTTCATTTTTTTTTTTTTTTTTTACTTATACCTTCTGCTCAATGTATTTTTTAGCGAATGCACCGCCGCCAGGTGCTCCATCGATGAGTCGACCACCACCTGGATTCGGGCAACAGCCACCACAACAGATGCCACCGATGTCCTCTGCAGGGAACACAGGACCCACAAGCAATACCCAATCGATTGCAGGTATGGCACCACCTGGTGCTCCACCAACCACACATCCGCCACCTTCGTTTCCTCCGCCCGGAGCGCACATCAACCCGCAAGTGTACCGTCAGAACTACAGCGGAGGTATCTCTTGCTTTTTGTTAATCTAAGGTTCTACGATAAATGATGAATGATAAGTAACGGCCATTAGAAGGCCAAATCAGAAGCGGACGGCCCAAGTGAGGCGACGAAAATGGGTTAAATTGATTAAAGGGATTTTTTGCGGTTGCTGGTAGGCCGAGCCGTAATTTCTGAAGTAGCGGACGGTCCGAAGCGCGCACTCGAATTTTGATAATTAATGAAAACATTGAAAGTGCCATTTAGATCTCTCAAATAAGCAAGCCTGTATGTGCATTGAAGGGCACGATGTCGTCTTGGTGTGTTTATATCAGAATATACCTGTATGTAGCTTGAACGCTAGCAGAACTGTTGCCACTGCTTGCATCGCTAGGAGCTGCTTGGTTCGGGAAAACGCTGGATAATATTGGCAGTTTTTTGCTGATAAATTTATACTGTTCGGAGCAACCGGAGATTTTAATAATGCAAAAAGCGG